TCCGAGCTGTCAGCACAGAGCCTGATGTGGGGCTTGAACCCAGGAACCACAAGATCATAAGCTGAGCTGAAGTCAGATGCTTAATCAAGTGAATCACCCAGATGCCCCGAGAAGGGTAAAGGTTTTTGAATTCCTAAATCTGTCTGAATGTCCACACTCTCATGCCCAGGCCAAGTTGCAGAGAGACTTAGAAGTACAGAGATAAGTCACACTATTTGAACCTCAAGAAAGCATTTCTATATTTTCTAAAGAATGAAGCTATTTTCCAGAATGAGATGATACTGTCCAAAAGGATGAGGTGTTTAAATACACACTTGTTTTTCCTTTTTTAATGTTAATTTCTCTTAAACCCATTGATGCAATAGTACCCAAGCTAAAAAAAGGTCTCCCTTAAAAGTCCAACGGTGTCAGTAAACCGAGGCATAAACCTAGCAACATTCCATGACTTCCCAGAGGTGAGCGCCTGTGATGCAGGTTTTAACGTCAACAATTATATCTGTTATTTTCATGGACTAGTTCTTGCATCACAGGAATTCTCAGGAAAGTGTTTTACTCATCATGGTATAAATATAGCACATACCATGGAGCACCACGGTTGGTACAGATTATGTACTAAATCATTATCCTCTAGAATGGTCAATTGGTCCTTCCTCTTACAGAAAGAAAATGAAAACAACAACAACAACAACAACAACAACAAACAAACTTGTTCTTGTATCACAATGGAATGCTATTAGTGGCACTAAAGAAAACTGAGGCAATAGATTTATTACCTTGTTTGCTCTGGGTATCTACTCTGAAAAATGCTTGCACATCTTTGCTTTAGAGTTGAAAATGTCCAACAGAGTGCCAGGCTCTTCTAAAACTGTGGAGTAGGGTTTCATTTGTCATCAATGTCACTTACCCATTTCCACACCATCTCTACCCAAACCCTCTATCCCTGCACCATGCTCTTTCTGATGCATTAGCCTTAATTCCAAAGAGTAGCCACAATTAGTGTCCTTAATGATGAAGTTTATGTTCACATCCTCTCCCTCACCACCAACTAGAGACTTCTCATAGGCCAGAAGCATTGAAGTTAAATGGGAGTCCTGTCTGTCATAGCAATTTGGATGGGGAGAGAGACCAGAAGGCAGGAGTGTCCAACACTTAGCACAATGAAGACACTTTACTGAGTATTATTTTTCAACCGTAACCAAGCTCTTTCCAATCTTTCCTCACAAAGTATCCAAAATAAAATGAGAAAGTATCCCTCAATGATTTAGTACCTTTATTTGAAGTTTCACCTTTTTAGTCTTATGTATTACAGGTTTAATTCAAAAGACAGGAAGACCACAGGAACATCCTACATGGTGACAAGATTAATGAGGGGATGCTGTTTAAACACGTGGGTGTTTCTAGAGTTTCCACTGCACAAATCAGGTGCTATGAAAAACAACTTGAGTTTTGTCATCATTCAGCTCTAATTCTCTTTCCTCCCAAGGTTCTTCTTATTTGTTTGCAGTGAGGATTATATGACTCTAGATACATTTATGGAGCTTAGAACATGTAGCATACTAGATATTCTAAAAAGTAATTCTGCTTCATTAATACCAACAAACATACCTTTACTATGTCACTGAGCTTGGGGAACAAAGAAGAATCCTAAGTTTTGGGGGGATGGGAGGACACAACCAAGTTGGTGAGCTATAAACCAACATTTGGGTTGTATCATGGGAAAATACCTGCACCATCCCGGAGAAGAACAGAAATCTAAGCTTTGAGCCTTTGCCACGTGAAGACATTGAACCTGAGACTCTCACATGAAGCTTTAGTGACAAGTAGACTAGAAAAGAATATCACCTCACAGCAAAGGGAATACACATAAAACCTTCCCATTTCTACTGTGGCTCTCAATTGAAAAATAAGCAACAAAAGTAACAGTAGCATGACCTACTATGATATTAACAGGAGCAGCATTTCTGCTGATACTTCAGTCACAGGCTTGCTCCCATTCAGGCCTGCAGCTCAAATTTATAGTCACTCTCTTTTTGGAAAAAAAAAAAAAAAGGGAGAACTTGAAATAATCCTAAATTGGTAGCACCTCCTGGCACCTGGCAGAAGAAAGTACAAATCTTGCCTGGACGAAAGCTTCCCAATTTTTGATCAAGGTTCCAACACATTAATTTCAACAAAATGTGCATGCACGTGCACACACACATGAGAGAACAGGAATCATATGAAAAAAATAGGAAAACAATTACAGATTTAGACCCCTACATACTTCAGATATTGGGATTGCCAGAGGCAAAAAATATATGTGTGTGTGTGTGTGTGTGTGTGTGTGTGTGTGTGTGTGTGTTGGCTATTGAACAGAGCTATGTTCAATAGTTATTAACATAATAATTAAAGACATAAAAATATAGGAACAAAAAAAAGAGTGAGAACAACAAACTAAATAAACAGATATGTTTGAAAAAGAACAAAACATTATTTTTTGAAATAAAGACATAATTTATGAAAAATGTTTCATTGAATGGGTTTAATGATATATTAGGGAGAGATGAAGAAAGAATTAGTGAATTTAAAGATAAAATTGAATACACTGCCCAGAATTCAAGATAGACAAAAAATAATACTTATTACAAAAGTATAGTAAGAAACATGAAGATAGAAAATCAAAGACTTATCTAGTGCAGGTCTAAAATAATTGAAGAGAGAGAATAAGAATGAAGCCCAATTTCACATGCTGAGAATTTCCAAGAACTAACCCATAGATATATGGGTAAATAGGACATATGAACCAGATACACAGATAACATGAGAACCTAACAGATAGAAACAGGAAACAAACACATCGAATGAGATACTTAACAATAATAAATCTACACCCAGATGCAAGGTAATCAAACTACAAAACACCAAAATAAAAGAGATCATCTTAAAAGTAGCTTGTGGGTGTTGGGGCTCAGGGTGGTCAGAGCACTTTCAAAGGTGGGACAGACTGACAGCCACCTTTTCAACAGTAACAGTAAAAGACAGAAGACTGCAGGGATGTGCTGGTAAGGGTTTAAAACTTGCTCCCCAGCAGCAGAGAAGCCCTGTAGCATTTCTGATTTCCATGAACAGTCTGAGTTTAGCCAATTTCAGCCTGAACTGTAACATCACTGAATGCAAAATTGGGCACAAGATGTATCTAACAAGCTCTTAGGAGCTTGTGTGAGCTGGCTCCATCACATACCTAAATAATTCTTTCAATAACAGAGGGGAAATGCCCTTCATTATTGACTTGTATGTCTAGCAAAATTATCTTCCCAGAAAAAAAGGTGAAATAAAGTCCTTTATCAGATGAGGGGACACTTCTACAACATAAATTCATAAGGATGTACTTCAGAAAGAAGGAAATCAAACCTGTTAATACGTAGAAAGTTGGAGGAGTGAGTAACAAGTCAAATAGTGACTGCCTCGGTAAATCAAAAAAGTATCTACATAAAATAATTATTATTACAGGAGGTAGGATGGAAATGAGAAAACAAAAACCAACAAAATTCAATCTAGAAGTCGGTCAGTGTTGACCGCCTCCTTTGACTGCCATTTTGCAGACTAAAATTGACATTTCTCAGACCCAACTGCATTTGGGTTTCTGGACACGTATTATGCTCTGGAAATTAAATAAGTTTATGGATTTGGAAGGCTGCAGTGAGAAAGGCGTCATTTTTATGCTTTTTCAGCTGTTTCTATTGGCAAGCAAACTCATGGTTACATGCCGTGTCTTCTACCATCACTTTTCAGAGATCTTTTCCTGCCTCCTGGGGAGGACTACTCCAGGACTGGGGCCTCAGTGGCCTCTGGACTCGAGCATCTCATCAGTGATGGCCTCAGAGTTAGCAGCTTCCCATAAATCCACTTGGGACGACTGATGAGTCATTCCAAAAGACTGCAACAAGAATCTACCAACAATGGAAGGGGTGCCGCCATTATGCAAGTAACTCATTTCTGGTGTTAAATGCATTCCTGTTTGAAATGCCTTAAAAGTTGAATGAACAGAAAATAAGGAAGCAGAAACAAATCCAACCATACGAAAATGTAGAGAAGCTTACATTTGCCAATTTATAACACAAAGCTGGCCAGATTGGATAAAGTACAAAATTCAGCCTTGTGTTCTGCACAAGATCATACAGAGGCTTAAAGTAAAAGGAAAATTAAGAGTATGCTTATCGTGATGAGCACGGAGAAAGGTACAGAATTGCTGAATGTACACCTGTAAGGGACATAATACTATATGTTCACCATACTTGAGTTTAATAAAAAAAGGAAAAAGGAAAAAAAAAAAGAAAGAAAAATTGAAAGGAAATACACGAGAAGGGACAGGCCATGCAAATACTAACTAAAAGAAAAGTGAATCCACTATATTAATAATAGACAAAGTAGATTTAAGCACAGAGAGAGATACTTAATGTTAAAAAGACCACTTCAGTATGAAAAAAAATGTTCATCAAGTTATAAAAATTCCAATCTTACATGCACCTCATAAAGACACTCAAGGCATAGAAGATGAAATTTCACAGAATTTCCAGTAGAAAACAAAAGAAAATCCACCATTATGAGAGGAGATTTCAATCCTCTTTCAGTTGTTGGTGAATTAATAAAGGGACTGAGCATCTGAGCAATCCACTAATTGGGTAGGTCAAATCCTTAATTTTGGTAAGTAAACATTAAGAAAATATAAGTAAAAAACAAACATTGAGAATTAATTAATTAGAACATAAGTAAACATTATCTTACTTAATTTCTATGTTACTTTGCCTTACCCAGTATTCCATAAAGTAGGTATAAATGCCAGCTCCCAACCCTGCCACATATGCCTGAGCAACTGCCCTACCAGAAATCTCGGTTCTAGATCTTACCTATGGTGAGCCAGAGGCTCCAGATTTGAATCACTAACCTGCCTGATGGAAATTATTTGTTTCTTCACTTATTTCAATGAAGCCCACCGGAAGAGAAAAGATGAGAAAACAAACCTGTGACTTTGCCCAAGGTGAGTGACCGTATGGCCCTGAATTCGACTTCTGGGGAAAAGTTGTAACTGAGTCGCAGGTGCTGATCTACCTGCAGGAAAACAGAAGACAAATGTGCATCAGCAGAGGTCTGCACAGAAAGGGCAGAACGCCCTCCCATCTGCAAAAAGTTTGGAAACACACACTGAGCAGACCCCTCTTTGGGATTTTTGTCTCTGGAGAGATGAGAAACGTCTCGCTAATTCTCCCACAATACACGTAAAATACTTTTTTCTTCCCTCTTGGTTAAATAAAGGCCTTCACACAAGTCTTTTCCCTGGGAAATTCTGTACAGCTTTTGACAGGTATTTATCTTCCCACTGAAATTTTCTCACCAAGTTCTTTGTTGCAAACAAGGAAACAAATGAAGCCTTCTTGGGAACGTGCTGTGCACGCCTGCCATTACACAGAAAGCCCACACTCATTCCCGAATTCCCCCTTTCTCCTCATTTGGTCTTTAGGGCCACCACTGCTCCCTTTGCTACAATGATTCTGACTTGGCCTCACTCAGGTGTGGACTGTGGGATTTTGCCCAGCAAATCTTTCAGGGTGACAGAAAGTTAGACCATGGGGAGGAGAGACTCACTGAACGGTCACCACCAACAGGAAGACCTCATAACCCCGCTTCATAGGGGTGAACAAAAGCCACCACTGGGATTTCCAGGACTTGTTTTGCACCATAATCCTTTAGGGGACTCTCCTTGTCTAATCCAGTTCCATCTCCTTCCCTGCCCCTCATTCTGAGGCAATGTTACCCATCCATTCTTACATTCTCAGCCTTTCTGGTCTAGTTTTCCCAGGATCTACACTGCACATTCACATGATGCTGTGCCTACAAAGGATCCTTTTTATCTTACAGTTTCATGTGGAAGGAAAAGGAGACTAAGACCCCTGCAAGCTGTGTGCCCAGCCCCGCTCTTCCCTTGGGGAGCAGCTGACCCAGGGGTGGTACTCGATTCTCCCAGATCCCATGGCCACGACTATCCCTCCGCAAATGAACCCTCCTCCAGGAACCTCTAGGTCCTGCGGTGGTTTCCACTGTGAGAGAAGTCACCGGCTGTGACTGTGGCTCATGGTTACATGCTTTATTACTATTTCATTTGTGAAATCAGACTGGAATCATATTTGCTATTTATTGAACTCTTGGTATGTATGAGACACCATATTGAAGCAGCTTTCAAAATACATGCCTCCCTAGAATACCGTGAGATAGGCATTATTACCCCTGTTATACAGACTGAGGAGATGATGTCCTAGAGATCCATAACTTGGGCAGGGCCAGACAGTGTCACAAAGCAGTGTCCCACTGTCATGTGGCCCACCTGTCACTCTCTATGGGGTTTGCTTTCCTTGTCCATCCCTCTCTAGATAGGGATTGTAGACAATCACTGTTTAATTTCTGGCTTTCTACAAAACTCATTCAACAAATGTTTGAATATCTACTATATGCCAAACACTGTTCTAAGTGCTCCCAGAGGCTACCTCCTCCAGGAAGCTTTCCTTGATGCCTTGGCTAGATCGGTTGACACTCTTTTCTGTCCTCATGGTGTCTTGTTTTTTCTGCCTCTAACTTTGCATTTAAAGTGCTGCATTATATTGGGGCGCCTGGGTGGCTCAGTCGGTTAAGCGTCCGACTTCGGCTCAGGTCATGATTTCACGGCTGGTGAGTTCGAGCCCCACAATGGGCTCTGTGCTGACAGCGCAGAGCCTGGAGCCTGCTTCGGATGCTGTGTCTCCCTGTCTCTCTGCACCACCCCTGCTTGCACTCTATCTCTGTCTCTCAAAAATGAATAAACATTAAAAAAACTTAAGTGCTGCATTATAATGATCTGCTTCTCTCTCCCTCCCTGTCTCCATAAACTGTTGCCTCTTTGAGAATTCATATATCTTACTGATATATGTTTTCTGTAGGACCTACTAGAGAAACTGGCAAAGTATCTCCTAACACAGGTTTGCTGAGTGAATGAATAAACATCCTGTATTGATCCCTTTTCTATCTTGAAGCTATGAGGACAGAGTCGGTCACAGCACCAGGATGTCTCTCACTGCCTGGAAGCTCCTTCACCTTTAGGTACAACATAGGGTTTTAGTCCTCACGGTCCCCATCCGTAGTCTGATTAATACCCATGGGTTCAGATTCAGTCCTTGTCTCTAGGAATGTTTTCTTCCTGCCCCACTTCAGAGCTCTCCCCTGCCTCTTCCACTGGCTAAAACTGCCCCCTCCAGCAGGTGCAGGGGGCCTCCCCTCATGTGCTCTTGTCCAGGTTGGAGAGGAGGTTAAAGTGGGTGGAATTTCCAGCTGAGTGGAGAAGGGTGGAAAGATTCGTAGCACTGAAGGTGGAGCTGAGATTGCCCTTGCTTCTGCCCCTCACCTCCTCCCCGGGCTCCCCAGGGTCAGCTTCCCATGCAAGTTGTCCCTAAACCTTGACAGGCCCATCCCCAGATGTCACACATGGGAGAGCTCACTGGTCAAGTACGTGAGTCCTCCCTATCCTGCTGTTCTGTTTTGGGGAACTTACTTGGTGGTTAGCACTTAAACCAGGTGACTAATGAAGGAGAGGCGGTGAATGACAATCAAAGGGGTTTTTCGGAAAAGATGAGTATTTGTAAAGGTTCAGAGAGGAAGGAAGATGGCTCACAGGATACCTGGGGCTCCTGGTGGACTATGGAGAGCTGGGGATGGGCTCCAGCCCTGACATGGGATGTGGGCACCTGAGCAGTAGTACTGGTTCAGCTGCTGGGTCACCGATTGGAAAAACAGCCAACTCATAGGACAGAAGCACACACGTAAAAAAGAGGGGTGCCCCACAGATACTTATTTTAGGGCCTCAGCAGTTATAATATGGGCTATTGGAATCATTGAGGGATTCAGTGGGAAATGCATTATTTCATCAGGCTTCCTTTTGTGCATTTTACAGTTTAGCATTGTGTTTGTGTTTCATTATAATTGGTGAGGTCCTAAGGGGTGAAGCATTGTAGTCCTTTAAAACAGCGGGATGTCTTAAGTTTGTCATCTGGACTACAGAGCCTTGTTGATCTCAGAATTGAGGATACCCAGTGGTCTTGTCAAGTTTTAAGTGAGATGGAAAAAGATGAAAATGGAGCCAACCTTTTCTGAGTACGTCTTACATGCCAGGCTTCATGCTTGGTCTTTCAGCTATGTACTTTCATCTAATCTTTATGAAAACTGAGCTTGGTTGCATTTGAACCCCACCCCCGCCTGTTTTTATTTTTCTTTTTTAGTACAGCAGTAGACTGAAGCTCAGAAAGGTGAGTTATAGTCTAAGATCACATAATGCACGTGGTGGAACAGGAATTCACACTCAAGTTTGTCTCCCCGTAGCGACGCCTTGACCTTGAGATTTTCATCTCTCTAAGGAAGGAACTAACTACTGGGTTTCAAAAGCGCCTGGCACCTCCTTCTTTACAGCTTGTTGAGCTGGCATTTTGGTAAGCTGGCTTAATCCATTTAATGTCATGGATGCATTTTAAATAAGAACACTGAAGTTCACCTCCACTGCCAGGACATGCTGGTGGGCACCTATACCTTAAAAAAACACTAGCCAAATTATAATTCTCAAATCATCACCAGGAACACTTGCTCCTAATTTCAGGCCCAGCCCCCATGACCTCCTTCTTGGCATCACAAAGAAAGAGAAGAGGAGGAATAGCCACTCAGGGCCCGGGAGGGCATGGAAGAATCTGTTTTTAGGTACAGGATGCCTCTGCTTGGTGGAGTATGGTGATGCCGGCCTGCCCTCTCTCTCTCACAGGTTCTGAGTAAGGCCTACACCCTGCTCCACACGGCCTAAGGGCAGGACTGGTGATCAGTAGGAGCCTACCTTTTTCTGTTTTCACTGAAGAGTTCCACGCAGGGAGGAAGAAGAGATCTAGCTAGGGCAAGAGGGGTGGGGGTGACCGAGAGGCAGGTGTGTTGTGTTCCTGCATCAATAAACTGAGTCCAAGTTCAAAAAAAGTCTAGCTCTAGTTTTTTTCTGCTTCCTCAGTGTGTTGGGAACCATATGTTATCAACCAATACATGCTTATTGTTGATTGTTAAACTGATTGGTAGAGATCCTCTTGATGGAGAAGAGAAGGAAATACCTTCTATTGTCCTCCCACTGACCTGTCTGCATCTTTCATTTGTGGAAAGAAATACAGGAAATATAAAAAAAGAAAGGAAAAAGGAATCATATATACACATGCCCACCAGAATGTGCCCGTATGTTCCATCAGGACCCCAGTCAAGATATTCACACAAGAAATCTTTATTCCCATCCATTTGATCCTCCAATCTTGCCTCAGCCCGAACTTTCTCCAAAGATGTATCCCCCTATTTCAAGAATAAATTCTAAAGGTAAACTCATTAAATTATAATCACTCAAGGATTGTTTTCATACCATATATTTGACAATTATTCCTGAACTTCTACTCAATCAAGCAAACTAATAGTCAAACTTGACTTCTCCCATAGCCCACACCCAAAAGGGCACACAATGCTACTGATGTTATTTTTCACATCTTTATCTCTGTGGTTCTGCCCACTGCACTAATTGAGGCCCTCATAATCTCTTTCTGGCTGGTCTCTATCTCATAATCAAATGTATATTTCCATGCAGTGACCACAGTGAACCCCCTGAAAATGAAAATCTAACCATGCTACATTCCATGACTAAAATCCTATGGGAAACCTTCTTCACAGGGTCAATTTGATCTCCCCCACATAGTACATTAAACCCTATGGAATTCATTCATTTCATTTATAAATATTTATTGAGCACCTGCTTGACAAAGTGGGAGTTCTATGGTAATGAAAAGAGAGAAAAATCCCTGTCCTCTAGGGGAGAGAGAGAGGACAAAAAATTAGATAAATAAATCATGCTGAATGTTAGATAGTGTTCAAGCACTGCAGGATAGAAGTCAAGGGGCTAGGTTGTCCATATTAAATAAGGTGATCAAAAATGGCATCATTAAGAATAGTTTTGGAGCGCCTGGGTGGTGCAGTCGGTTAAGTGTCTGACTTCAGCCAGGTCACGATCTCGTGGTCCGTGAGTTCGAGCCCCGCATCAGGCTCTGGGCTGATGGCTCAGAGCCTGGAGCCTGTTTCCGATTCTGTGTCTCCCTCTCTCTCTGCTCCTCCCCCATTCATGCTCTGTCTCTCTCTGTCCCAAAAATAAATAAACGTTGAAAAAAAAATTAAAAAAAAAAAAGAAAAAAAAAGAATAGTTTTTAAAAAATTTTTTTAATGTTTATTTATTTTTGACAGAGACAGAGACAGAGCATGAGCAGGGGAGGGGCAGAGAAAGAGGGAGACACAGAATCCGAAGCAGGCTCCATCCAAGCTCTGAGCTGTCAGCACAGAGTCTGACGCGGGGCTTGAACTCACGAATTGCAAGATCATGACCTGAGCCGAAGTCAAATGTTCAACTGACTGAGCCACCCAGGCGCCTAAGACTAAAGTTTTAATACAAACTCTTTGGCCACTGTGTTGAGAAAAGCTTGCAGGGGAACAAAAAGTGAAGCAAGGGCCTATCTGTCAATTAAGATGCAACTGTAAACTCTAATAATCCAAGGAAGAGATGAGAGTAGCTGGGGCAGGGTAGACGCTGTTGATCAACATGATGTGGCATGTGAGAGAAGAGATATCTGAGATGACACCATAATGTTTAGACTGGGAAACTGCAAGCATGGAGCTGCCACGGACTGAGATGGGGAAGATTATGGGGGTGGTGAGTGTTTGGGGTAAGATTCCCAGAAACTTAGTGTGGAATATGTAATGTTCAAGATGCACAATAGACACTCAAATAGATAGCCAAGCAGGCAGTGCTAGATCTGGAATTCAGGGAAAGGTTTAGAGCTAGATACACCTTTGGAATTAATTCATCAGCATCCCAGCGCATTTGAATGAAATTAGACATGAAATGAGCGTAGACAGAAAAGAAGAGGAGTATGAAAATGAGTCCTGTGATGTTCCAGTTTGAATGATGATGGGAGGGCAAACAAAGAGAAAAGAAGGAGCAACCAGCAGATGCAGTAGAAACAGCAGGTGAAAGCTGTGTCCTACAAGCCAAATAAGAATGCGTGTCAAGATCAGAGGCAATTGCCATGTCAAATGCCAACGAGAAGCCAAGTCAGGAAAAGATCGCTGGATTCTGTACGACCATTGGTGTCTTGAGAAGTATAATTTGACTCCAGCACAGGGAAAAATCCTTCTGTGATGTAGGTTTAAGAAAAAGGAAGGGAAACTCAGAAGACCAAGGAGGTAGACATTTCCAAGGACATGGGCAATAGACTGAAAGAGGAAACGGAGCAGTATATGAAGTCAGAGAAGACAGAGGTTTCCTCCCTCGACCTCGAGAGCGTTTTTTCTTATCATGTTGTATGCAAATTATTATTTTATTTATTATTGTAATTATGTTCTTAATGCAAGCAATCTTTGCATGTTTATGTTTTGAGGAGCCATCCAACAGAACGGGGAAATGTTGACAAGGGCGGGGAAGATATGAAGGCTGGAGTGATGTTCTTGAGTGGGGTCTGACACCTGGCCCACAGGTGGTGGGTCTGGCATGAGCTAGAATCATTGCTTGCTCATATTCACCCACATGAGGGAGATAGAGTGCCTGGACACCTATGCAGGAGGTGGGTAAATAGGGTGGAGAGAGTGTACGGGGGTATTCTCTTCTGGATGCTACATTTCTCACAAGAAAGAAGAAAAGAAAGTCATCTTGCACAAGGGAAGATGGGGTTGTAACTGTTGGGGTATAAGGAGACAGAAGGAGGTTTTAAAATTGTCATCTAGGAGATCAAGAGAGTGATGGATTAAAACAATAAAGGGGGATTGCTGGGCAGATGGAAAGGCTCACCTGAGGACACGATTCTGAACAGGATGATCTGGACTCTGCATGTTCTCTGTTGTGATGTTCCCTCCCCTTCTTGCTGCCCTTTATAATGAGACCCCAGGAATTCCAGAGTGCCTGCCACATGCTGTGCTCTTCTGGACGTCTCTGCCGATGCTCACGTGGACCCACCACATGACCACCTCCTTCTCTCTTCTCCACTTAGACAACTCCTCCTCGCCTTCTAAACTAACTAGAGTTAGGAGTAACTTTCTCTAAGAAACAGGTACTTCTATCCAGAAGAGATCAGTGTTCTCTTCCATGCTCCCAAAGCACCTGTACACACTTCTATCCCAGCCCTTGTCAGTCTCTTGTGATTCCTCTTCAGCTGTGCATCTTCCTCTTATACTCAAGTTCAGGGTTATCAAACCTGATTAGGCTTCAGAATCACCTGCTACCTCCCCTGCAAAAACATTTCTGATTAAGTAGATCTGATGTAATGCCCAAGAATTTGCATTTGTAGCAAGAACTCAGGTGATGTGGATGCTGGTAGGAGGGGGGGAGCTCACCGTAGTTCACTTTTGTCTAGTTTGTCCAAGGCTGAGCCAAGTGTGGTTGATATCTATCCCCAGGACTTGGCTTCACACTTAGCTCAGGGTAGAAGCACAGAATATTTTATTGAACAGCCAAAACATATTTGGCTGAATGAGAAGAGAAGTAAGGTACCTGAATGGTAAGCTCTCTTCCCTCCCGGTTAATCTTCAAATGGTGCAACCTTCGGTTGGCAAAATTCTCTGCATCCATATTGAAAACATGGGTCTCTTCCTTGCTTAGCTGATAGCGAACCTGTAAGCTTCCTTGAAAAAAAATTAGAAATTATAATTAAAAATAGGACCCATAAAATGAAAAAATATGATCAGATTGTCTTTTAGTTGATCATTACTGTTTTCTAGGGACCTATGTCTCAATCTTTTCATTATTCAAATTTTTAAAAGGCATTACATATGCTATTACTATAACATCTGGGTCCACATGGAAAATCCAGAGTATAGGTGCAAAATTTGTGTGCATTTGTGTGTGTGTGTGTGTGTGTGTGTGTGTGTGTGTGTATAGAAACCACAATGCCAGGTTGGAAAATAAAACAGTCACAAGTCTATTCTGTAATTGGGCTGTGAAAACTTTAATAGCAGGGATTCATTTTCTATTCTCTCTTCAACTCCTACTACTTCCTATAATTCCTTTTCTTCATAATTGCCTTCATGAAATTTCAGAATACATGATATGAAATCAGACTGTAAAATAATCTAAGCCAGAATAGAAGAAAAAGTTTGGCCTATGAAAGCATTACCCAACAGAGTCCACCAATATCACAAAGTCTACAAGCTAATGCTGGATTTCTTGGTTTGCTCTCTCCTTTTAGCTCTGACCATTGGATATTTCCAAATATTACTGTTCAACTATTACTGTTTACTTTTTTATCCCTTAAACATGAATAATAGTTCTCTAACAGTAGCATATTTGGTGCTGAGAGGAGTTGAGCAGGAGTGGTAGTGCAGTGTAGACACAGGGCCACAGCCAGGCTCCGGTAGGGAAGTGCCCACCTTGTGCACCTGCGGGGTGTTGGGTGGCATGTCCTTCCAGACTCCTGGTGTTTTCATCTTGAATTCAACCCCATAAACTAAATCAGCATGTGACAGATAATTCTGTGTCAGGTATGATGGTGAATACCACATTCCTTGAGGGCATTTGGACTCTTACCATCCCATTGTCTGGGTAATACATATGCATGTACAGATTCTGCATACATATTCTGGATGCATTTGTCCATTTTAAACATAGCTTCTATTTTATACATCTTTTCCAACACCTGCCTCACAACCATCCACCTTAGATGTCAATAATCTCATAGTGACTCTGTCTATCAAAGTATCCTGAAGCTTCCCCAACATTCCAGTTTATATCTAAAATACCTCAACAAGTTCTTCCAGAGCCATGCAAATATTCATCTCATCCTCTTAGGAGTTTTGATGGAATCAATGCCTTCTTCTGCTCCTATAGGCCCTGTGTTCATCTCTATTCTAACAGGTACTGAGTTGTATTATCTATCTCTTACCTGTCTCTCTTACAAATCTATAAACCCCTTGATGATCTGCACATATCTTACTTTCCCAGTGCCTGGCATATGGTAAATAATCAGTAAATTTTGAAAGAAGGAAAGAAGGAAGGAAGAAAGGAAGGAAGGAAGGAAGGAACGAATGAACGAATGAAGGAAGAGAGGGAGGGAGGGAGGGAGGAAGGTCAAAAAATTCAGTGGGATCTTGAAACTTTTTACATCTAAAGGAATCACTTCCCTGAAATAGTACAAATTTAGGTTGTACTTATTCTCAGTAGGTCCAGAGACCAAAGCATTTTTCTTAGAAATTGTTTTGCCCTGGTATTTCTTGACTTGGAGTTGGGAGAACATCTGGAGAATAGAAGAGTTGCATGCCTAAGGAATTAGATAATTCTTGAAGGCCTCCTCTAGAATGTAGTAATGTCTGCACTAGTTTATCCTTCTGCATCAGAGTCTCTGATGTTTTAGGGAATTCATTCAGGTTTGAATTCCCACCATCTGTCTTGAACCTTCTGTCTCTTGTTAGTATTTAGGGTTCTATTTCTTTCCCACACATCTGGATTTGCTTTATATGCCTAGTCCAGTCGTTTTCAAATTGGTTTCAAATTAGAACACTGCATTCAAATGATAGTGAACGCTAGTATAGAAAACAAAAAAATACGGAGCTTCTTGAGCTGAAGTAGGAATGGGAAGCTGTCTCTAGGCTGCTGCTGCCACTGTCCTCTCCCACTCCACCCACCTTCAACCCACAACCTCATGTTGGCCAGCAGAACTCTTCGGTTTTCCAGGAGTGTAGTGGAAAGCCTCTACAAAGTAACAACTCGGCGTACCAGGATTTGGTCACATCTATTCTGGACAGCTTTGTATCAGTCCTCTGTATCCCATAAGACACAGCCCATAGAACACTCTTTCTCTGCAGTCCTGACCATTGGGATCCCACACTTCAAATACCCATAGACCCATAGGTTTGATAAGCTTACTGTTGGATTTGTATAGACATTAAGTTGACCAATGCCAGATGCTCTGTACATATCTATGTGGATGTAATTGGCTGAGGAGAGAGAAGCCATGCTCTCCTTGGGAGATGTTGGACCTATTTTCTTACTTTCCTTTTTATTTTTTATTTGAGACAGAGAGAGAGAGAGGCAGAGGGAGAGAGAAAATCTTAAGCAGGCTCCATGCTCAGTGTGGAGTCCAATGCAGGGTTCAATGCCACCGTCCTGGGACCACGACCTGGGCTGAAATCAAGAGTTGGATGCTCAAACAGCTGAGCTACCCAGGTGCCCCCTCTTTCTTTTTTATTGAACGACATACATTTTATTCTCTCTCGACAATAGTTCTGGAGCCTAGAAGTTAAAAATATTTCTTCAAAGGCTCGAGGCTAGGATACTCCCATGCCTCTTCTTAGTTTCTGTGAATCCTGGCAATCCTTGGCTTGTAGATGCGTCACTCTGATGTCCTTTATCTTCACATGACCTTCTCCCTGTGTCTCTCTGTTGGGCCTATTTTCAAAGCTTCCCAATACTCAACAAAGGATACCATATACCATTTAGCAAGACATTTTATTATTCATATCCTGCTTGACAATTTCCTTCTCATAAAAATAGAATAAATATGAAGTGGAAACTCAAACCTGTAAAATCCAAAAAAATTTCTAGTTGAATGCCTTGAGCCAAGCCTTTGGGTTATGATGCTTGCATCTCAGTTATTCAAAAACATTATTTCTTTTTCTTTTATTTTACTGGTTCCCACTTTCCCATTCTTCCTTCTCTGTCTTCCACACAGCCATGAGTGGGAATAGTGCATATTTTGCTATGTGACTCTAGAACTAAAAAAAAAAAAAATTCCAAGCCAAATAAACTAAGGGTTGTCAGAGGGAGGTGGGTGGGGGGTGGGCTAAATAGATGATGAGTATTAAGGAGGGCACCTGTTATGATGAGCGCTGGGTATTATATGGAAGTGATGAATAATTAAAAAAAAATCCAAGCCTCCTTAATTCTATATGATGTATTTCAGCTTATTGGCCTGACATACAAAGCCTTTTATTTTTACCTTCCAACTTTATCACCTATATATTACTCACATCTGAATCATACCTGAACACTCAGCATCTCCCCAAATAATGCTCCTTCTTACCTCTGTGTGTTTTTCTTTTCCTGTAGTTGGAATCATACCCCTAACTCCTTATCTGCCTGGTAAGCTCCTCTTAATTCATCAAAATCCATCTCAGGTGACCCAGGTCTCTACTCACTCCTAAGACTGATAAAATATTTTACTATATTGCCACTGTGCTCACTTTTAATAAAACAAACGAACAAACAAACAAACTCAATTTATCATGATTATTTTGCCTTTCTCCTTGAATTTATTAAGGTCCTGTAGGAGAGATAGTTGCTTGTTCATCCCTGTGTCTACAAAGTATAAAGCAGGGTTTGCTGCCTTAAGTCTCCAGAAAGCATTTGTTGAACAAAGTATCCACTCTGGAGAATTTTATTACCACTCCAACAAAATTATAAACTAATAATTTTTCAATGCCTACTGTGTGTCAGAATTTAAATAAACAACAGTTACAATGCTACAGTTCTATCATTAAGAAGTTTTTGATCCAGTTTAAAGCAAAAACAAGATCATGCTGGCTTGCTCTTAAGCACCTCTATGTTTTTTTTAAATTGATTTTTTTTCAATGTTTATTTATTTTTGGGATAGAGAGAGACAGAGCATGAACGGGGAAGGGGCAGAGAGAGAGGGAGACACAGAATGGGAAACAGGCTCCAGGCTCCGAGCCATCAGCCCAGAGCCTGACGCGGGGCTCGAACTCACGGACCGCGAGATCGTGACCTGGCTGAAGTCGGACGCTCAACCGACTGCGCCACCCAGGCGCCCCAACACCTCTATGTTTTAGACATTTAACCCGGTAGTAACGATATTGATATTTTTAAATCAAATCCTCAGATTAGGAAATAGATTTTCAGGGAGGTAAACAGCTACATAAATTAATAATTAATAATAATAATAATAATAATAAGGAGAAGGAGAAGAAGATTCAAATTCAGGAGTATAGAACTTTAAAGTATATGTTCCTTCCACTATACCACCCTGACTCCAAAGGCATGTGATCGGGTAGATGGATGAGTGGATGGACAGAAAGTGGATGGTGACACAAAGGGAAAAGTGAATGATATGGCAGACAATTCAGAATGCGTGTTTTGTGAGTTCAAAACGATGAATGGTTAAAAGAGTTGAGGTAGTAAGAAAGCTTTTCAGAGAAAGAGGCTTGTTGACGGAAGGTAGAAATTAGCTAGGGAAAAAAAATAAGGTGATATGCTCAGGCATGCACATGCTCAGGCATTTCTACAATTTCAGTTGTAGAAATTAAGCAGAGCACTGTGGCTAAATTTTACCATGCTTGGAACAGTAAAGCTGTAGACCAGCATCGCTGATGAAAATCTTAGCAGATCTGCACCCAACCAAGCTTTCTCATTCTGAAAGATGGAAAAACTAATATCCTGTACCTTGAGTGGGAACTTGGAACAGAGCAGTAAAGAGACAGTCCAGGCAAAGAACCTGGACTTGTTCTTCTAAAAAGGGGTCCCATAAAGGGCTTTAGACACGTATGTGACTGGGCTGATGTACAAAAAGTGGTATCTTCAACATCAAAAGAGAAACCCATGAAGGCACTGGACCCCTGCAGTGGAGTCCATTCTTATATTTCTGTCCACAGAGCATTGTCAGTTTCTTGCTTTA